GCTCTGCCTGACAACTGGCCGGTCAGCACACCTATTGCCAATGAATTGTACGGTCATTTTGCACATGTGTTCTGTGTTGCAGAACAACAGAGGAAGCTCACAGTCCGGCTGGAGCTGGAGCTTTAGCTTGAAAGTACCTCACAATGAGCCAAGAAAGTTCCAAGCTTGTGTTTGGAGTAACAGTAACCTTAGGAAGTAGGAATTAGTTATAGTAGTACTCACACTGCGTATTAACACGGAATCCCTTCCAAGCCCCCCCCGACTACAAAAACAATACAGATGCAAACACTTTTATTTTGTAACGTTGACCTGTGACCTGAGTGCAGTTTCATAATTACTTATGGATTAAATTGAATTAAATTCTGTTCTCAACAATACTTTACTTTCCTACATTCCCACACTTGAATGGAATTTGGATCTGCAACAATTAGCATCAGTGAGTCACACCGTTGCATTTAGACATTCTTCAGATTCAAATCATTTTGAATGTCATTTTTATATGAAATTACCCACATCCCTTCCTAAAATACTATGGCCAACAATTAGGTCTCAAGACTGAATTGAATTGAATTGATTTATTTGGCGCGAAAATGCTAACCAGGCAGTTGAACATAGACAACTGAGAATGTCTAACGTTTCTCCCAAAACTTCAGCACAACTGAAAACTATGTGGGATTCTACAAGTGTGTGACTGTAAAAGATTATTTAATATATACTGACATTGTCTGTTTTTGTATTAGACCTAAAGGTTGAAGATGTATTTCTGTTTGTTCCTGAACCTGAATTTCAGTTGCTATATATTTCAGTAATGAGAGACTGGAGATGAGTCAGAGGTCAGAGCAGTGACAGCAAAGCAGCTGATAGAGGATGACTGAAGACAAGGTCCACTCAGCTGCCTGCTGTCTGTCACAGCTCAGCACAAAATACTTCACTCACTCACTCACTGCATGACTGACTGCTCATCGGCCGGGTGTCTCACCAACACGCACCTACATGTGACGTGGGTGAAGCAGGCTTCTAATATTTCAGTGAGGATTCAGGAGCTCAATAAGGAGCTCAGAACAATATTTCCCTTACACTTTGTCTGGACAGGAGATTTAAACAATATTTTCATTTTTAATGTTTATTTATATTTCTAACATCTGAATTTCTCCATCACTTCTCTCGAAATCATTTTCAAATTTATTTTTTGCTAGACCAAGTAAAAAAAGACAATTACAGATGAATAGATCTTAGGCTGTTGTTGTGGTCGTTCTTAAAAAAAACTAAAATTGTTCAGATGGCCTCTGTATAATTTTCAAACCTTTTTTCAAATTTTATTCTAGCCAGGAGAAGAGAGTGGTTCAGTTTGTTATGACAATCATATAACAAAATAAAATAAGACATATAACACAACTATTTCACCACGAATAAATTAGTCAGCAATCACCAGTATGTTTTACACCGGGTCCAACACAAGGCCCACGGCCCAAATGTGACCCAGCGAGTCATTTTGTGTGGCCCAAAGGAACTTAAAAAGCATTTAGTTGCCTTACAATAAAGTCTACGCTGCTTCAGAGAGCACACCGACCATGCATTTGATGATGGAGGAGGAGAGATTTATGAGCAGAGACATACTTGATGTGTTCAAGACCAGCAGCATCACCACATCAAGGGAAAAATATAAAATTTCTGAACACTCACGTGCAATGTAAGAAGACAGAAAGACTCCGGCCAGTGCGGTTCCCTGAGACAGACGCAGCAGCAGAAACACAACAGCACTGCTGGACAAACACACAGCGACTCCCAGCAGACTGGACAGACTGAGGGAGAGGAGAAAACAGCAGCGACGACCCAGCCTGGAAACACACACAGTAACACAGTCCAGTCAATGTATTGTACTAATCGTGCTTTTTTTAAAAAAAAAGTATAATATCAGAGTTACTTACCTGTCACATAAAGTACCCAGGAATATGTATCCCATAATCCACCCCATCATGAAGCAGATATGCTGCAGTGGGATTTTCCAGTAGTCACTGCAGACCAGGTCCCACTGCAAATAAAAATGTCAAAGGACAGCATTCAATAACTATTCAATCAATTCTTGACTTGTACAGAGGAAAAAAAACAGAATAAAACCCCCCCCGAATAGTTTCGGTGACAAAATGGAATGAGGAACTTTGTTGGTTCTCCACTAAGCTTAGGTACTTCATCTTCTTTGAGAAGGATCTAAATATCTGTTAAGGTTAAGGAAACGAACTAGTGTCTGAAAGGTTAACCACTAGGCCACCGCCGTCCCGCTACATCGGTATTGGTTGATATCAGAATTGGAAATTAAGTGTTTGGACAATATTAGCATAAAGTTAATATCGGATATCCCTACAAATAAATACTCTCTACACCAGTGTTTCCCAAACTTTATTTCTGGGGACCCATATTTTAAAAGTCACAAACCTTTGTGACCCAAGTCAATAGACATTATTCGTAAAACTCCTGGGGAACATGACGCGAGAAAAAAAAAACCCAAAAAACTCTTGCGACCCACCTGAGGGTCGCGACCCAGTCTTTGGTAAACAATGCTCTACACACACAAGAGCTGTTAGGAATCTCAAAATAAAACAATGATTTGAAATATTAATTTTAATTAAATAATAATAAAAAATGTTTCAATGACACTCCATAACAGAAGCAGCAAGCACCAAGACGTTTGTATGGTGATACAGTCTCTGTGCATTGGTATCAGTTTGGTACCATCCGACAGTGTACAGTGTACAGTATGTCCTCCATGAGGATGGTTGTTAGTACCAGGTCCAATAAGTGTTCCATCCAAGTGTTAAGTGCCAAACTTCATGGAAAAGTTAAAACATCTGCTGACTCCCATTACGGTTGAAAAAGAAGAGCCGGAAAGAAAAGAAGAGCACGTCTTTGTCCTCAGACTACACTGCAGCAGTTAGTGACTGCGAAAAAAAAAAAGGCAGGAACGTTTTTTTACTTCTTCCTCATTCTAAACCTTTCACTGATACAAACCTGGTGGATGAAAAAGAGCCCTTTTCAAACTGGTTAAAACAAGTTGTTCAACCTGTGAATGCTGCAGAAAAGCAGCCTAGGCCACAATTGTCATTACAATATATTCATAGAATTTGTAGTATTGAATGATTTACTCAAGTTTTCCTTTCATCACTTTTTCCTTTGCCCAGAGGAAGAAATTTCCACTTCAGGAAGGAGCGCGGAAGTGTCAGACTTCCCAACAGTTTGTCCTGAGGCCTGTTTGCTGCCAGTGTTTATTCTTATAACATCTGAGTAAACAAACAACAATCTCAAGGACAATTAGTCATAATGACTGGGCTGTGATCAAGCCCTGCACACCAGCTCCCACTGATTAGTCGATTTTCAAAAATAGTTCACTAGGACGTTCTCTGGTTGACTACAGCCCTAGACTGAATCTTCCTACTATCTGCAGCTTTAATGCATACAATTCAAAACATTGCACAGAAGAAAAGTGTTGTTGACAGAAGAACAAGTTGGTTGATGTGCTCCTCAAGAATCCATCCTAGTCTGCAAATACTGATAACAGTATTTGCAGACTAGGATGGATTCTTGAGGAGCACGTGTTGAAAGAAAACAACCCAAAAAAACACCACGTTATACAAACATGAGAAGCTTCTGCTGCACGTGTTGTACAACATGACATGCCGTTCATCAGAGTCTTCAATATAAGGACAACAGAATATTTTGTTCAGATCAAAGTCAGGTGACAGCCTGCGGTCAGATATATTGCGAGTTATCTTTGATGCTGATGTAACTGAACACATTTATCTGTGGATTAACACTGTGGATATACAATTATCAACTGTCCACTCCACCAGGAAGATCCTTCTGTCTGACAACATCAACCCCCCCACTCACACAACACAGTTTTGAGCCTAATGTTCAGGAGGCTAATATGTTGTGCAAGACACAAACCTGATCAGCATTTAGAAAATTCAATTAGGGAACTATTTTAAGATGTAATTAAAGAGCACAGCAGCAGCAGCTTCAACACTGTCAGATGAGTAACAGGAACTTGCCAGCAAAACCAATTTGGTTGGAACCACCTCATGATATAAAGTTCTCAGGGAAGAAGACATGCAGTGTTGGAAACTCCCTCACGAGTTTGAGCGATGAGCCCCTGAAACCTCAATAACAACGTGACCTTGAAAGTGATTGAGTGAGGCAGCAAAACAGGATGTGGTAAGACAAAAAAAAATTCAAATGATACAAAGAAATCGTATGAAAAGATTTCTCGGGTGACAAAGTCAGGGTTGATGCCTAGGTTTGTACGTAGGTTTATTTACTCTAGGTAGATTTCTATTACTGAGCCTAAAGATATGCAGATCACGTCCTCTCTGTACCAGGTACAGTTTCTCCCATAGCTCTGCGAGAAAGAAGCTGTCGCAGATAAATGTCCCAGGGATGAGGACAGGTGTCACTGAACCATTATGTCAATGGTCAGATTAACCTGGACTCTGACTCTTTAGTCATTCATTTAAAGCTGTAGAGGTCAGAAGTCAAAGTTAAAAGCATCTGATGTGACTGCCTTCACCAACAGATTTTTATACTGCTCTGATAAAGTTAGTGGGTCACACATGAACCAACGTGTCTTCTAAGTCACCAATTCAACCTGCACTGTACCCATCATGACATTCGGAGCACACCGCGTGACGTACACATACTGATTAGACTTGGTCTCCTGGGAAACAAGCCTTTTTGGCAACATTATCGTCCCAATAATGCGCTGTTCCAAACAGTTCATACACGGTGGTATCGTTAGATAATTATTGTCTAATATCAACCCGGCGTAAACCATAAGATAAGTGAGAATGAAACACGGCAGCAGGATTGGAACAGTTGAAACAGGGCAAATATTGACTGAAGCAAACAGATAGCTTTCACGGCACAAACGCCTCGAGCAGAGACAAACCTGCTTTTTACTCAGCAAAACATTTAAGCTACAGCACTTGACGCGACGTGACTGATACTCACACCTGCTGATCTGATCACAGGCTGAGAAATGACAAACAAATAACAGGGTCTGTACAGTTTGTACAAATGTCGGTTTGAACACTGCACTGTTTGACTTTACTGGTCTACAAATGACATAAGAAGGGCATCATACTTTCAGATTATGTTAGTAAAACAAGTCTTTATGAACAAAAACAGTTTTTACAGTATGTTGACTGATGTGGGGGAAAAAAAAGCCCTGTAGTTTCGTTTGACTTGAAGTTTAATTCAACTACATATTATAATTTTAGTATAAGGAAAATTGTGGTAAAATTCTGAAAATGACAACTGAATTAGCCTAATGTCAAAGTTAGTACTTTGACATTAGGCTCTAATTCTCTTTAGTAAATATAAAACAAAAAGACAAAGTGTTGTTTTCATTATTAAAAAAGGTAAATGTTGTTGTGTAAATGAAAAAAAAGGCTAGCAAAAGCTAGCAAAATGTAAAAAAAAAATGAAATAATGTTAAAATAATGTAATTATTTCTAACACATGACAGACATTAAAAGACGTCTACACAGCAAATGTATAAACGACTTGTTAGTGCTGGTAAGAAAGGCTAACGGAAACAAGTTATTTATCAAAAATATTAATGTTAGCTAGCACATTTTTGGCAAAATAATCGAAATGCCTGCACTGACCCACAAATCAGTGCGGCAGGATAAATTGTAAATTGGAAGAATGTCGTCCTTTTACCTCAGTGACAAAGTTGCTGTGCAGCCCGGTCGACTGAGTATACTCCCAGCCCAGGGTGCAGGGAACCCTCTTCAGTGGAACATGGTCGGAGGTGTTGGGCGGATATTTAAAAAGTTGACAGTGACTGAGGCCACTGCCGTTCAACCAGGGGATGGTGAGGTTCAAGTATCCCTGACTCGATAAGTTAGCGGGGAGGAAAGTGGAAGGAAGCAGTTGCGGGTCCGGTCTGCAGTGATACGACTCCGGGAGCAAAGTGAAGAAAACGTCGCTAATAAGGTTTAAAATGACCGCGAAACTGGGGAACCAGCTGAACACTACCACCACCCGGTTGTACCGCCCGAATCCGCCGGTCTGAGGGAAAACCTTGGCGTTATAATCCATGTGAAGCGGGGACTCGGCGCTGACATACGTCTCCGCGGCCATGGCGCGCTGAGTGCGCTCTCTACACACACACTCCACAATCCAAAACAGGAGGTGATGGGCGGAGGGACGATCACACACAAGGGATTTTGGGATAGGAGCCAGAGATTCAGGTACTTGACTTCCTGATATCTAGAGCCGGTAAATTGAAGGAAAAAGGTCAGCTTACTATTTCACAAGTAAACTTCTTTACTCTCCTTCCTACAGGGGGTGCTGTATAAGCAAAGGTAAACCCCTGCAATAACATACCTGATGCGTTAATCCTTTCTTGGAATCTCCAAACACACACGTCCTCCGTTAACTGTCCCATTACTGCCATCTACTGGTGTTCACGCTCAGAAGTCTGTAGTCGACCTATAAAAAAAAACAAAAAAACAAATTAGTGGTGTTCTGATGAACGCACCTTATTACAGGCAATTAAATAACTGGATGAATTCGATGATTGTTTACGTTTACGATGGTTGTTTAGTGGGTATATTAAACAAAATTTTAAAAAGTGCTAATTTTAGCTCTCCTTCTTAACTTACCTCATATCACCTTACATTTTCTGTGAAAAAACAGTTCAAAGTATTTCATGCAGTGAATTCAACTGCTATAGCGCCACTTCGATAATATTACACACGGACAACACAGACAAGCCACACATAAAACTAAGAAACCGAAGGCAGTGGATAATATTTCGAAGTTTTATTAACGAACATAGTCTCTGAGGAACAACAGCAGTTTCTCACGCTCTCTGTACATGCAACTGTAGAAAATAACAATTTAGAATTTTTACTTTTCAGTTTTAGTCTTTTTTGCCATCCATCTCATTTTCTGGTTCACTCCTTTTCAAACTTTTTTTTTGTCCTTTTTCTTAAAACTTTTGCAAGAAATCAACAACAGCTAGAGGTGAAAGTACTGGAGTTCTGTTACAGCACTGACGATAGCATCAACAACCCCCCTTCATACACTCCCCCCGCCCCCTTAGCTGCTCCAACAATATGTACACAAATAAACTACATTGTACAGATAAAAAAATGTTACATTGTTACATCGTAATTGCTGGCAGCGAGCAAACTCTGCCCGTTGCTGTTAGAACCCCACATTCTACGCAATTTTTCAGACTAGTACAAAGAGGAGGGTGCAAAACATCCTGGGAGGTTTTTATTTACACAACTATGTACAGTACGTCTCTTTCACGCATTACAAGGAGAAAAATTTACACAGCGGAGACCAACTTCAACTCAAAACATACCACAGGTGTCAGAAAAAAAAAGATAATAAATAGATTATTTTTCACCATTTAAAGAGTAGTTCTCCATGCTTTGTATTAGTCATTTTCATTCTAAAAAAAAATAAAAAATTAAGGAACAAAGAAACAGCTACAGTCTGGGTTTTAATTAAAAAATAAAAAAAAACAACAAAAGAAAATGAGAAAAAAAGGCTTGAAATTGTGATTCCACAAAAAATGAGCAATTATGTATATCTATGTCCAGTAATAATAAGAAAAACAACAAAGACAAACCCTAAATAAACATTAAGCGAATGTAAGGAAAGTAGAGGTAATATGTTGCTGACTGAGGTGGTGTCAGGTTAGAAGCTGTGTCACCACCACCAAGTGCTCTACTGTGCATCTGAGGACTGATGTGTGTTTCTGTGTGTTGTCTAATTAATCCATGGATCTTGTTTTTTTTTTTTTTCGTTGGGCGACTATTCAAGCTGTGGAATCTCTGTGGTCGATTGAAGGTGTTTAGTCTAATGCGTCTGGCTGTGTGTGCCACAGATCCGGGGACAGACAGCATGTTACATAACGTCAACCATCACTATTTCAAGCCTTTGTGATTCGAACGAATGACTGATCACACGAGTAGAAAACAAAGGCAAAGCTAAAACAGTTAAAAAACAAAACAACAAACAAAATGGTGATGTACAAAACTGACACACACACGCATGCGCACTGGCTTGTAAACAATAGTGAGAGGGTGCTGTACGTCAGGGAATAGTAACGGTATACATTCAGCTCAATAAAGCCACGTGATTGACATGCCACTGGTGTTTATGTTTCCGTCACAAAGGAAAGAAAAAAACCCTAAAGCAAACAAAGCAACATTCAAAAGTACAATGAGCTAAAAACACAAACACACACACACTTACTGATTTTGTGAACTAAAGACACCCGACAACCATTTCCCCAAAACAAACAAAAGAAAAAACAATTAGAAATCACCAACAATGTAATGCAAAACAAGGACAAACTGGGGTTTCAATCTAAAATTTCTGGCTGTGTCAATCTAAATTTGCAGGTCTTTATGTGAGAGAACCTGTTAAAAAAAAAATCCAAGACTTGAGCATTGAGCCACTTTGTCTACACGGTGTAGTACAAACATCTGTTTCACTTGACAAGACAAACCACCCACGGTGACAGCGCCGACTGACTGTGTGTCTCAGTAACATAAGTAGATTCAGAGTATGTTGCCTTCAAGGTCCACAGACACCTCTCACACACAGAAAGGCAGATGTTCCATGTGTTGAACTGAAAGTTTGTTTTTGTTTGTTTTGTTTTTAAATGCAGGAATCACTTAAAGGTAGAGAACTGATACAGATCAGCAAAAATGATCACTTCTACAGGGATTGTGAACTGAAGATATCGATAAAACAATAAAACCTCAGAGCCGTTCCAGCATCATAGCTACTTCTCTCCTCTGCACTGCTCCGAGTCATTTGACATTTTTGGTTGATTTGATTTCTTAGAAATTTTAAGTAAGTGTCTGCTCTGGCCAGATATAACAATATGAATGTAGCTAAACAGAACAACATGAGGAAGTAACGAAAACGATTAAAAACACAAGCCCAACCTATTACAAATAGGCAACTGATAAAATTTGATAACAAATTTGACGAAGGGTTTTCAAATATAATTCAAACTCAGGAAATCAAACTTCCTACGAGTCATATGAGAAATTTAAATAATTGTAAAACACCCACTCAATAGTAAGGCCACAGGTCTCATGCAAAGCAAAATAAGGTTCTTAAAATTTTTATATCCACTGAGGTGCCGTGCCATTCAGTGGGTAAAGATGAAACAGCACCAAGGTAAAACAAATGTGCTCTCCAACTATGAGCAACGGACAGACTGACCGACACAGACGGTGTCATGTTGGAACAGGGTGGAACCTTCAAACGGCTTCGGTCTTTTTTAAAGACGAAGCAGATGAGCAGAGAGAGAAATGCTGAAAGACCTGTGTCTTGTTTTCATCCAACGGTTTGTGATCACGACAAGACAATTTCAGTCTGACTCTAGCAAAGGAAAAACAAGTTCAACAAAACTTTATACACACTACAAGATGGCATTAGACATGAATGACATCACTATAACTTTTAAACTCTGATATACTGTAAATGTGTGTGACTTTGCCCAACAATGTTTTTTTTTTCTTTTTTTTCTCTTTTTTTTTACTGAAAAAGGCATTTTCTTGGTCGGAAATTTTCAGATATAACTGTGAAGTAAAGCAATAATGAATAATAATAATAATCCTCTGTCTACTTTTTAAATAAATCATTAACCAGTTATTCTGCTACATCCAAGGGACTCTATGGTGGCCTGTGAGAGGCTGCTTTTCTCTGTCAGCTATATTTGTGTTATGTGTTGATCCATGTAGTAAGCCTGGACTGGTTCAATAGATGGAACCATAACCAGTCTGCACTGGAATCTTTCAAATACTGACAGAATCCTGTACACATTTTGGCCCATGGATATGAACGGGGAGGAAAGTGCGGCCCGAATGTGAACTGTACATAAAAAGATAATTTTTAGTTCTTTTATCTTTTTTTTTCTTTACACTTAACTGAGTGATATTACAGTACATAGGTTATTTACAACTGTGCAGTAATGTGTGGCAAAATAAATTATCTAGAAGGCAGCAAGAATACATTGGTTAACGAATATAAAACTGTACATAATTTATGGAATACAACTTTTTTTCTGTTTTCTTTTGTTTGCTTTTTTTCAATAAACTAATATTGGCTCTGTAGTGTTTCAAGTCACTTCCTCAGAAAAAAAATGAAATGCCCAAGTAAAGAAATAGACACAAACAATATTTCTCTTCTCCTGTAAAACCACCATTTTCCACCTTTTCTCAATAGTCTTTTAGAGTCTGAACATTCGTTATATTTGTTTCATCTGGTTGTCCTGTGGTTGCTTTTGCAGTCCATGGCAGTCTGATGTGTTTGTCTCAGAGCAGGGAGGAAAGCTGAGGAACCCCTCTGTCTGTCCTCTGTCATCCTTACTCATCTCCATCTGTTTAGCCAGGCTGAGAGGCGGCAGGATCAGTCTTTTCTCCTCGGACACTGGACCCTGATGTGCACTCACACATTTTTTAAAAACCCTCTGCTCTACTTGACTGACCTGCTGCAGACTCTGCTGCAGATTTGCTGCACAGTCAGGTCAGGTGCAGGGACTTCACGCACCCTCCGGGGATGTTTCACTTGGTAACCTCTCAACCATCATGAGATCCCTGCTTATCTGTCGGTCTGCTCTGGCTGTCATTTTATGATTAGACATTTAGGATCTACACTGCAACACATCTTCACTGACAGTCCAGCACCGACTTGGTGGAGTTCTTCTGTCCCAAAAGAAACCTGGGATTGACGGGGGGAAGCTCGTCCTCAGTCCTCCTTTAGCAGGGGCACCACACTACAGAGAGAGCTCTTCTCAGCATCTTCTCCCAGTGGTCACAGGTCTTCTACGAGAAAGAACCAAAAAATGCAGAATATACCATCCCGTCTGTAGTCTCAGTGTCCTGATGTCAGAGCATTTAAGCAAAAACTGTTTCTGCTTTTCCAACTCTGATCGACCGAAAGCATAAAAACTTCTGAGGATGAAAGTGCAAGTTGTGTATTTTCTTTTCCCCCCAGTAAAAACATGATTCCTTCTTCATGGAAGGGAATTGAGAGCAAGTTTTTTTTTTTTTTATATCTTTACTTTTTCTAAAGAATATAATTTTTATTATCTAAAGTCCTCTGTCAAACTTGCTAGCCCTTTCCATTCGTTCTTTGTAACGAAGTCCTTATAAAAACTGTTGGCGCTCTTATCTGTAAGCACGCATGTCACGCAGGAAGGAGGACAAAGTCATCGTTGACGTCGACCATTGGGACGTAGAAGGACGGCACTTCGTTGACACAGAGGGACTTGTGTACTGCTGGGTCCAGCTCTTGGACCTTTAGTTGCCATTCCATCCTTTGCACCGCATTGAGTGCTGCTGCCTCATGCTGCTGCCGCATCAACAAACACGTCTGTGGGGGAAACAAAAAAATTACATCGATGTGTTTCACACATTACAAAAAGTGGGTTTTATGCTTGTCGACCAGATATTACATCAGTGAAAGGGTAAAATCTTACCTTCATGCGGTCATATTTATCATCCACATCCTGAATCCAGGAAATGAACTGACGTGCGTTGAAGCGATCTCTCACAGATTTGTTCTCATCACCCTGCCAACACATGAAAGGTGGACATGTAAATGAATAGTGTCGTAAATGTGTTGACTTTCCAACCATATCTACTGCAGTTACTTTGTGGGGTCTTCAGATCACAATCCTAGTTTGTCATAGCAATAGCTCTGTTCATTTCGTATGAACTGTCCAGTGAGGAGTTACAGATTTAATTAAGTTACTAACCTGACTCTCTGAAGGCATGTTATATACTTCAGAGTCCAACAGCATGGTGCAAGCGCTGAATGGCACAGCCTGATTGGCTATTGTCCTGGCTGCTCTGCAATGGACCCTCAAAACCTCCTGCTCACATGAAACAATCAGCTTCTCCTGTGAACCGTCGACATGACAAAACACAAAAGATCAGTAGCAGTAAATATATGTCGGGCTACACGACAAACAATGTCTGGATAGGGCTATTTTAAGTCCTCTTGATAATTAACCCTCTTACCCGTTCTATGCTGTGCTGCAACCTGAGCTTCCCTCTAACTGCCTCCTGTTGTCTGAAGAGCTCCTTCAAAGGTTCTGACAGTGATGGAGGGGGTGCAATCTGTTGAGCCAATGTAAGCAAGATACATTAGACACTCAATAAAGATAAGAAACAAAAACATTTTTTGGCAGCAGAAATGTGGGGTAGATGGAGTAACCTACCACAGGAATGTGTAGCTTGCTGAGGGGTTTGCCATCTAACAGGTAGGAGCCAGTGTAGGTCACATATTCAGCATAGCACTGTGGAGCTTGTGGGGTTATGTAGCACAGGATTTTCCTCTTTTCCTCAATCTTTTTCCTGATCTGCAAGTACTCAAAGTACGGGTTGGAGCGATCGCTGTGGTAAGGCTCAATGTCGTCCAGCTTAATGGCATTTACCACAACAGCCAACGTCTGCTGAATCATCTCCCTGGTCTGCTGCATTGCTGTGTTCACCAGCTGAACCTGGACCTGCTGCCCAGTGGGCCGGGCAAACTTTCTTTTCCGAGGATGCTGGGTCTGCGACTCCTCATCATCCACTGTGAGAAGACGTCCTTTTGTCGACTTAGCGAGAACAACTGAAGCAGAAGTTGTTACGGAAGTCGGTGCAGACACCGTTGTGACAGAGTTTGATGTAGAGGAGACGTGAATCACGGGTTCTTTGTCTCTCTTTGGAGTTGAGAAAGTAGAGACTGGGGTGGGCGTGGGAGTTCTAGTAGGAGTCAGGTTAACGCTAGCTGCTGGACAGGTGGTGACTGCGGTGACAGTGGCAGATGAGGTTACTATGGTGGAGGTAGAAGGAGCAGCAGCAGGGGGATTGTTCTTGGCGCGATTGCGAGTTATTCTTTGAGGGATTTCATCCACCTTTTTGGGGATATCTACAATGGTGGATGCAGTGGTCAAGGTAACAGGGGTTAGCTTGGACATTGTCTCCTGAGTGTCTGGTAAATCCACTGTGCTGGGAAGGCTGACTGCCACCGGGAGCTGAGGAAGAGGACTTTGTGAGACAGCGACAGGGACAGGGTCAGGGATCTAAAACTGTCTCACCTCTGACTTGACAGCAGTCACAGAGTCGTCTGTACGCAACTGTATTGACGCAGGGAGGGGATGCATCTGTATGTCATGTTGCTGACTGATGTCAGACTTCACAGAGGAATACAACATACTGGACTCCAACTCATCAGGTTCCCCGTAGGAAACTTTACTGTCCTGTCGTTGAGTGACGAATAGAGGGTTGCTAACTGACACAGTTTGAGCTTCAGGTTCCAGGTCTGGCTGGAAGTTGACATGTGGTGATGGGATGACTAAATCCTGGTCAGTAGGTTCTCCTAAACCTAAGTCTCCTGCAGAGCTAGAAGTCTTAGCCAGCACTGGTAAGTCCACCTCTATGATGTCTGTCTCATCTCTGTCACTGAGACTGTGTCTGATGTGGCCAGTTGGCACATTTTTGTTGTGGTCAACTGGATCCGGATCCCGGGGCTCTGCTTCTTCATACTTTTCTGCGTCTGTCAGTGGGAGGTCCGGCAACGAAAAGGATCCCAGATCATCTGTGAATGGGTCTGCCCAGGGCACCAATGGCTCGTGGCCCACATCTGGACTTATGTGACCCTCTGTGGTGGCGGTGAAAGTGTGTGCAGTCTGTCTACTGTCAGGTTCTACACACATCATCTCAGTGTCCATCTGATGACTCTCTTCCATGGTTGGTTTGCAGTCCTGAAAGAAAGACTCCAGCCTATTTGAAGAGGATGAGGTGTTTAAATAGTTGGGTTCCCCGTCCATGATATTGTCGTGCCTCTCTGGAGATGATGGGATGTCAGCCACAGCTTCCCTTTGCTCATCATAGTCTTCTGGATCCTCTGGGTCTTCTTTGTGCCACCTGTTCCAGTTATGGTATGGTGAAGCGACAGAGGGGTGTCCAGACAAGTGATGCATGTCGGTGTCTGAGTGTGAGTAAGGACTAGTTATTTTAGAGACAGCGGCTTCTATTTCCCCGTATGTCCTGTGGGGAGATTTGATGTCCATATCAGAGTTCCAGCCCATGCTGTGATCATAACAGTTCTCTCCTTGGATCGGATCTGGGTGTGTGGGCGAGAGCTGATGATTCTCTGCATCCTGTCTGTCTGGAGAGTCTACGGGCCAGCTCTTTCTCAGTGGGTCCTCGATCTGAGGTGAGAAGGAACATGGCTCCCTTGTTTGCTCAAGATTCTCTATCGCACAGTGCTCTGCTTCACCAGTCTCACCTAGGTCACCTTCTACCTCTTCCTCCTCCTCCTCTTCCTCCTCCTCCTCCTCTTCCTCCTCCTCTTCCTGTTCATGCTCCTGCTCTGGTTCCTGTTCTTCTGTGACAGAGGGAAGATTTGACAGAACCAGATTAGGTTCACTGTGGTGAGGCTCTGCGATGTCGTCGATGTCCAGGGGTGGTAAAGCTGCTGGAGCTGGTGTCGGTGGTGCAGCGATGTCAAAGCAGGGCTCCTGTGGATCTGGTCTGTGAACTGGTGTAGAGGGTTTGGGCAAGAAACTGTACACACTTCCGGGAAGGTGTTCGTTACCCTCAGCGCCTGTTAAAATTGGTGCCGCCACATCAGGTGTTGGATGAGCTGGCTCTCGTCGAGGTGACAGCATCTGAATTGGGGAGTAGTAGTTCGATGAGAGGCACTCTAATCTGTCTGCTGTTGCCGATTTGTCCTCCAAAGGTTTGGAAATGGATGTGTCAAAGTCCACCTCTGAATCAGTTTGCTGTTGGAGAAACTTATCAGCCTCAGCCTTAAACTCAAGAGGCCTACAGACGTCCGAGGAGGCAGAACGACTGACAAATGGAAGCTGGAGGTTCTTTGCAGGGGTGGGGCAGGTGCCTTCCTGGAAGCTCTGGGAGTTGGTGTACCTGCTGGATAAAGAACACAAAGACAAGATATTAAAAATACATGCAACACTTAACAAGGTCAAACTAGATGATCCAAACAAGCCCCCGTAATATTGTAGAAACCATTACCTTTCAAAGAATGACGGGGAGCAGGCATTCATTGACATGGTCATTGCAGATGAGTTTTGACAGTCCAAACCATCCAACATGATGTCAGGGTAATCCTCTGCACTACAGGATGGAGTACGTGGAGTCTGCATGACTTCCTCAAAACTCGGACAGGAGATCACAGACGTAGGCGTGGGAACACCAGTCGGTCTGTTTTGATCTGGCCTGGGAGAAGCAGGAAGATGCTCCTTCATTTGGTGGCCACCAAGCCAGTCCTTTGAGTTCTGAGTGTCTGAAGGCTGGAACTTCCTTGCTGGGGACATCATTTGAACAGGAAGGCCTACGTCTTTGAGCTTTTTCTCTTTGAGTCCAGATTCTAAATTGTTGGACTTCTTTGAAGAGAGCTCACTACGATTTTTCCGCACTTCATCTGTGGACTTGGATTTGTCCTTAAGTTTTTGATCCCCAGACTTGAGTCTCATCTTCTCCATCTGCTTCATCCTTTCCTTGTGTCTTTTGTGGCGCTCCTCGATCTCTTGGTCTTTAAGACTCAACATCTGTCCAAAACTGGTCATTTGATAGTCATCATCAACCAACAGTTTTTCACGTGGACGGTTATCTTTCCGTGCTGCGTCTTTGGACTGAGGGAGCTTTTCATTCTCATCCTTCGTCTTTAATTTATTCTGGTCCTGCCTGTTGTCTTTGTCTATCAAGTCCCGGTTTCTGTCCTTTTTCATATCATGTTTAGGACTGTCTTCCTTAGACCTGTCTTTCAGAACAGTGATCTGTGGGCTGTCTTTCAGCCCTGACTTCAGGTCCTCTTTGGATTGTTTGAACGACCCAAAGCCATCAATATACTTGTTCTTTTCCTCCTTTATTTTTTCTTTATGTTTCTCTTTTTTCTTCTTGTCCTTCGTTCGATCACTGATTACACTTGACGACTTGTCCTTTTTGGACATTTCTTTCTCAAACTCCAGTGTTTTATCAAAGTCATCATCGCCATCTCCCTTACCGGTGTATGGAAATGTGTAAGGGTCAGCTTCGAGGGGCATGGCTTCTTTCTCAAAAGGAAGGCTCTCTCTGCGGCCGTAGGTTTCCCTGATCTCTTCTGTCTTGTCTCGTTTCTCTCCCTTTTCTTTCTTGACCTTTTCCTTCTCCTTGTCATGGCTTTTCTTGGATGAAGATGAAGAGGAATGGCGATGTCTTTCCTTGTCTCTGAACTTGTCCTGGGGTGTAGTTATGGACAAGGAGTCTCTTCTATCTTCAGACACATCTGTTAGAGTGATGGATTCATAGTAACTTGCCAAGACAGGCTCGTGGCCCCTGTCAGTGAAACTGTCTGAGGAAATTTCACTGTTTTTGTCATTGGAGTCATCTTTATAGTCATTCATGGCTTCCTCTTCTAATTTTTCCAAAAGTGACTTTTCATTCTCACCACTACCCTTAGAAGGTTTCCTTTCTTTCGAGTGGTCTAGCTTGTCCTTATATTTGCTTTTTGTCTTTTCTTCACTTGTGTCCCTTTTTTCCAGAAGCTTCTGCTTGTTTTTCTTCTCCTGGTTTGAGTCCACTGACATTCTGTCTTTTCTCTCCTTGTGTTTTGCATCGACACATTCCTTTTTGTCTTTGTTGTGTTTCTCCAGAGTGCCTTTTCTCTCTTTACCAGTGTCAAATATTGCCTTTTCTTTCTTCTTCTCTTTGTGTTCTTTCTCTTTTGCCTTTTCCATGTTATGTTTAACATCAGCAGAGGACTTTCTATTTTTCTCTGAAGGAAAGTGATCCAGCTCATCTGGATCCGGTGTGGAGTCTTTTCTGACAGAGTCGGACATGAGAACACTACCACTGTAGGCATCGTCATCATCATCACTTTCATCAGTGAAGATGTCTGCTATCTTGTACCATGTCTTCTCACGCAGTTTCTCAGGTTTCCTCTCCTCTTTCTTTGTCTCCAGGAAATCTTTCTCTCTTTCAGAGTGTTTGTCTTGGGAGACCTTTTCTTTTTTATCCTTGTTCGATTCCAACGACATCTTTCTGTCTTTCTCTTTACCATGAGATTCTTTGTGTTTGTCTTTGACTCCATCCTTCTTCTCTTTGGTGCCTCGGTCTGTGTCCTTTTCCTTGGTTGGTTTTTCTGTGGCGCTTTTCTCACATTTATCTTTCTCGACTTCAGCAGCCCTGTCTTTCGTTTTGTCCTTGTGCTTGTCTGCTTTTGTCTTCTCACGCTTTTCTGTTCCATCTCCTTTCTTGTCTTTCTCCTTCCCAGATTGGTTTCTCTCTCTGATATCCGATGATTTACAAGCATCAATGTCTTTGAAGAAAGCATCGCTGCCGTACTCATCTCGCACCGATTCCTGTTTGATTTTAATGTCTTTTCTTTCCTTGACGGACTCATACGAGTCTTTGCGGTCTCGACTGCTGTCTAAGGTGTCCTTGTCCTTTTTGTCTTTGCCCGTGTCGGTGCAATCTTTCCGTTTTTTTTCTCGATCTAGAGAGTGACTTGAATTTTGTTTTTGTTTTTCTGACCAGTCTTTTTTCTTTTCATTAATTTTTTCGGAAGAGTCTTTCTCTTTCTTTTTAGAAGAGGCTTCTTTCTCCGATCTTTTCTCGCTGTGGTCAGATTTCTTGTCTTTAACTTTGTTCTCCTTTCTTTTCGTCTCTTCCTTCACAGTCTCAACAATGAGTTTAACAGAGTTGTTGGCTTTGTATTCTTTGTACTCATTGATAGGAGAATCCCAACTGTCTAAATAAAGGGAGGAGTCAGATGACATCTCAGAGCCCCATCTGTCGTGATTATCATCCGAGACACTGAGCTTCGTGTCGTCCAAGCTTAGAAAACGGTTGTTGACATCATAACTTTCGTATTCAGTGTCGTCTTTCTGTGTCTTTTCTTTTTTGGATTTATCTTTTTCCTCCTTGGTGCTCTTCTCCTTGTCAGCCTTGATATGCTTTTCCTCTTTTAGCTCACATTTCCGGTCTGCTTTTGAGGAGGACTTTTCCTTGGACTTTTTCTTTTTTTCATCTTTGTGAACCTTTTGTTTTTCCTCCCTGGTTCTCTCCTTATCTTTAACATTTCTATCTTTTTCGGATTTGACAGGTTTGTCCTTCTCCTCCTTGTTTGTCTTGTCTTTGTTTGAGTCTTTTGCTTTCTTATTTTTCTCTTCCTTTGCTGGTCTATGCAGATCTTTCACCGATGACCAATCTTTATCTTCAGACTTGCTTTTTAATAGCCTGTCTTCCTTTTTTGAATGGTCTTTTTCATGTTTCGATAATTTGATTTTGCCCTCCGCCGGTGTGTCTGACTCAACAATAAGAGACTTCTGCCTAGAATCATCAAAATCAAAAGAATAACTTTTGACAAATTTTTCATTCATGTCCTGATTCAGGACTAAACTGGGAGCTTTGTCTTTTTCTTTATTTTTGTGCTTGTGCTTTACTTTATGTTTTTTCAGCACTTTCCCATCGACATCTGTTTTGGACACAGCACTGTCTACACTGGAGTTTTTGTAGACCTCTGAATTCTTCTTTTCCACTGTGTTACTGTGGACATTGTTGTTCTTCTTTTTGCCCTCCTGCGCCTTCCTCTTCACTTGTTTTATTGATTCAATGCTGGAATCTGCAGAGGAATAGTCAGATTCACTCGACAGCCTAGTTCTGACGGAGCCTGAAAGAGAACTGACATCTGACCACGTAGGAGACGACACAGTCTTCCATCCATCTGTCCTCCACTGCTTTGGATGCTGTTCTGCTAATGATGCTGCTTGTTTTTGAGCGTTTAAGTTACTGTGGGAAGAGGATGCATTTAAGCCAGCGGATTCTTTCAGGCCTGCTGCTGAGGAGTCCTTTACACTGTTTAAGCCCTTGTCATCCTCACTCTCCAAATCCCCACAGTCAGAGTCAGAGGTACAAAACTTGTCATTAACCTTACCAAACCGGATCTCTTTACTCACATTATTTTTGCTTTCTTTCTTTCTTTTCTTTTTTACTTTATTCTTGTCTTTCTGTTGTTTAGAGCTCAAGCTCGAGTCTCTCATCTTAGTTTGCTGTGCTTGTTGCCTTATCGTAGGCGCTGGTGTGAAACACAACGTCCTGTCATCTTCGTCGGAACTGTTACTGTCAGAAATGATCCGTCTGACAGTTTTCTTTGGTGTGAGTGAGTTGCTTTTGGAATAGGTTTTGACCTCCATTTTGGGTATGGAGATGAAGCTGTTAGGCTTGGTAATTGGGTCTTTGCGAAAGTCTTTCTTCAAAAGGTGTTTATCGTCCACAGGAGGGACACGTTCCTCCTCATCATCCTCATCAAATTCATATTCATCTTTGACCGGAGTGACGGCAGACTTGGGAGGCTCTATGGGTTTCCCTTTCAACTTTAGGCCCTTCTCAAACTCTGAGTCTGTGTTATTGCCATCAACAGAGCTTGATGGAGCAAATGAGGGGGCATCTTCCTCCTCTGAAGATTCTGAAATGTAAAAAAAAAAAAAAAAAATAAAATTAAAACATTTTAAATGACAATAACCTTGCTCTAAATGAACCTCTAAGATTCATACCTGATAAACTTTCTTCACTGGAGGTGTACGTGCCTTTGCCCAGCAACAAATTTAGCATCGTTGGAGAGTTGGCAACCTTCAGTGGTGTTTCACCTCTTCTGTTGCTTTGTCGTGGGTCTGCGCCATAACGTAACAGCAGCTTTACTACCTGAAATTGAATCAAATACAACATACACTTACTATAAATAATACAACTATCACAACAGGTTAGTCACAATAAAAGAACAAACATGATTTACTTCTTTGTTGTTATGAACTTTCTGGAGGAAAATGTCAAGAACTACAAAGAAGATTTAGAGGATGAAGAAAACAAAATGCAGCCCACCTAAAAGACTATGACTCTGTAATTACATTTCTGATGTATTTTTACTGGAGATACAGGTTCCAGGTTATAACTTGGCTAAACTGGGCTCACTGTTATTAACTAATGACTTATGTTAAAAGTTGTTTATTGTTAATAGATAACACAAAATTTTCTTCAACTGACATCTACGTAACGCTCTTTCTTTATACCTTGAAATGTCCATTATTGGATGCATCATGTAAAGGTGTGTCGTCATCCAGACCCTTGGTGTTGACCTCTGCCCCGGCTGCCAGCAGCTGTTTGGCCACATCATAGTACCCCCTATTGCACGCCTCATGCAATGCAGTCCAGCCTAAACATGAGAGTAAATAAGAGCGGTAAAAGAGTACCTTGCAAAAAAAAAAAATCTTCGCTGCTCTATGCTGAGCAAAGAGCTGTGTTCTCACCTGCAAAGTCTTTTACATTCACATCAGCTCCCTCGCTGATGAGCTCCTTGATGCGGCGTACCTCTCCACGAATCGCTGCTCTGTGCAGCCGAGTCTCCCCTCTTTCATTGCGTTTATTGACTTTGTCTTTGGTTTTAGATGCAGAGTTTGGTGTCCCCTTCTGACCCAGACTGGATTGAGACTGATGCTTTGGTGTTGTATCTGTTGGCAGGGATGAGACGTTTCATGATTACACAACAGCAGTTAACATAAAAACAAGTACCGGCCACAAGGTGGCAGTCTTGTACTGAAAGACAGCAGAAAAGGAGTTTTCCTTAATTGAAGCTCTTCAGCAGTTTATCAATCAATAACGTAGTGATAACATTTAAGACATTTATTGACACAATTTATAATGCTGGGTTTGCAAAGAAAAGGTATGCAATGATTTCTTCTTAATATGCAAAGTATTTAAAATAAAATTCACCATCATTTTACTACTGAAATCATCCAGCAAAGTAACACAGGTACTACTTTGTATCTTAAAAAAAACTGATTAATTATTACAGCTGTTACATTAAAATCCATAAATACAGTATGGACATGGATATAAATAATTTAAATCTAGTGTTATTTCCAAATGCAAGCAATCAGTTGAATTTTCATTTTTATGTAAAAAAGCATAATAGATATTGTTTCATCACAGGCAACTGGTATTGTTAGAGAAAGATAATTATATTTGATTAAAAAAAAACATCAAAAAAAGTCATTCAATGCTGAAAAACACACATTTAAGCCCCTTCAGATTCTCTCTCTTATTTGCCACCCCTCCACATAAGTACGACGTGTGCCCCATGATGAACACGCACCTGGACTGTTGACCGACTCCTCAGCTGTCATTTGCATGAGCAAGGCCACTTGCTGCCGTTCAGAGAGGGGGTACCCCGCCCGGATCCCTGGCATACCCATTCCAAACGGCATGCCGGCCTTCCGAGTATTGGTGGGCTCCTTTTTAATGCGCTTACGCTCTGGACCTGGTTTTTCTGTAATGAAGGCAAAAGAAAGATTTTTAATGTATAAAGCTTATACAACTCTGCAAGAAAAGGATTTAGATAACCTAAAAAAGGCAAAATGACACAATTTGGGTAAGTTTAGTATAGTTAACAGATATGTGGACTCCCACCCTTGTTATATTACGTTTCACCTTTACATTTTAACCTACTATATCTCCTATTCCTGACTTACTTTTTACTTATTTTTTCATTATATATCTGCACCTAAAAGCTGCACCTTTTGACTTTTTTGGGGGCAGATTCTAATTTCTTGGTAAATTTTTTGGTAAGTGACTCGCTGAGGCCAATTTTTTTGGAATTCTAATCTCCTTCAATTGTCAGAACAAACAAAAGCAAAGTGTTCTCCACCTCAGCATTTTAGTATCATAACAAATAGAGTATGACATATTTCCCACAAACTGCACTCGGTCACAGGTTCTCTCTTCGGTTCAACAATTTCAAAATACTTTCAAAATAAAGTACTTGGTCACTGGGACTTACTAAACCTATACTACTATAAACATGTGCAATAAGTCTTCATAACAAAACAAATGCTGAATGATTGTGTTTTAAGTGTTTGGTTTGGTTTGTTGCTTGGAATGACTCAGCTCCCCCACAGTTGACCTTACTGTATATATTTACAACATGCTGACCAACAGGCTGATCATTCTAAAAGCCGTCCGATCAGCGACAGTTTGATCACTGCATCCCTAGTTTTAAATGCTTATTATGTTTACCTTGTAGAAAACATTTCCTTGAGTATTGCTTTAAGAATAAATATCTGCCTGTGTTAAATTACACCTGACACTTGATTATGTCCACTACCTTCACAACCATATCAAAGATAAATACTATGCAGGTAAAACTGTATGAGAGGTTACCAGGTAAAAGGGCAAGACCTTTTTCTTACAACCTTCACAGCCATATCAAAGGTAAAAGGGCAAGACCTTTTTCTTACTAGCTACACAGAAGGAGACACCAAAGGCACTGTGTTGGTCTGTTTTTAAGCCCATCAGTACAAACAAAGAAGAGAGGAAAGAGGGTGTGACTTGGCAGAACCACAGTTATTATGAAATATCTGGTGTGCATTTAAATTCAGCAAGGCTTTGCCAAGGTCAACTCACGTCTGCCTGCCTGCCTGTCAGGCCAACTGGAGACATGGGGCTACTGGACAAAGGCAGCTGTTCCACAAAGACACACCCAGCAATTATTTTCAGTAGCAACATACCGTTTGATGACCCTCATGGAGGGTAAAGCTACATGGAGCACTTTGAGAGTGAAGGGATATTTCCCACCGTTCACAGCAGAAAAGCACTCAACGTTCAACTAAAAAGTCAACCGCAAATTTAAATTTGCATTTGAGGAGAAACCACTCGAACACAAAGAGTTCTGATTGTCTTTTCAGAGATGATATTTTTCAATCCACCTATGGCTACATTGCTCAATGTTACAAACAATCAAATTTAAAGTACAGCAGACAGAAACAGAGAGTACACATTTAAAGAAATACATTTCCAGTAACGTGCACAGAGCTGATGAACTTTCACTAACATCTGCGAATGCTTATTGCTAATGTGCCCCCACCCCTCTTTGATACACTCTCGTGTTCTCCAAGCATTTGCCATTTAGACACATTCCTTCTACTGAGACTTAAACAGCAGGAACCACAGAAGCAGTCCAAACACGTTTTTTGAGCAGAAGAACAGAAGTGCTACGCTTGCCTTTCCATTCTGTTTACACAAATTAGAAGGCAGTTATTAGCCTGATCATCTTAAGAGGGAGGCAACTAAACAACACACGTTGTCAAAGAGTCCACCAGACATAGTAGAGCATGAATGTGACACGTTGCTCCTGGATTCTTTTGGGTTTATCAACCTCAGAATTTTGGGAAAATGATGATGTACAACACTTTGTGCATGTTTTACTGACTTACAAAAATAAACTAACAGTTCTGTATCTTCATAGTATAGCTCTCAGTTGGTCTATTTCAGGAATACTGCTGGGCCCTTTGTGTGCGTCAGTAAAATGATATTGCTCAGCTTACAGACGAGGCTGAAACCTTACTCTCCCTACTGCATGAAACTTGACGAACAAGATAGGAGAAAAGGATAATAAAAAAAGTAACGCAAGCTAGAATGAGATAGTCACACCATGAATAGATTATCTATCTTAACCTAGATGGGAGGGATCCACATCAAACATAAATGTAATATAATAATAGCTCGATTTTGATATGGCATGCAAACAATCCTTCAGTGGTTCCCAGCGCCAAAACAAGAGACCGTCTGGTTCAGACGGCCAACAAGAGGAACTGCTCCAACCAGTCAAACCTGATGGATCGGCCCAAAACACACTACACTAGAACAAGTTCTCTTTTAAGACGAGCACAAGTTGCATAAACAGGAAGCAAAGGAAGAAGTGGCAGGAAGTGGCGAACAGGATGCATTGAGCAAGAGAGACCTAGAATATATGCAATGACCAGGGTGAAGATACAATGCTGGGTCTGTTTGCCCCCTCTGGCCAGCTGGCAAATGTGCTGCACATTGCTTTAATAAGACAGTAAATGGATAGCTTCTGTTTTCTAGATTTAGCCACAGCCTGGTACAACCTACCTGGGCAGGAAGACACTTGATGTACATGTAATACATGTAATAATCTTTCCCTTAATGCAAAAGGTAGGTTGTTGGAGTTGCAGAAGTCTTTAACAACTCAACACACTTGAAATTATACTAAAATGATGAACTGAAAACTAACTGTTTGATTAATGAAATTATACTAAAATTGAAGATGAACTGAAAACTAACTGTTTGATTACAGCTCTCTTAAATCCAACAATGTGATGTGATAACAAGCAAAATGACAGAGAATGTGGGGAAAAACTGCAGTCCCAATGTAGCTGATATCTCCATAGTCCATATTTTAAGCAGTGACCAAACCAGAGCAGCCTAGGTCCTAAGAATATCATGCTAACTTAAAGGTTAGGCCAAGACGGAGGTGCAAAAGATGAAAATGAGATCAGACATTAATGTGTGCCTGATCAGACAAAATTATTCTGCCATCATATGAGTCTAACCACTCGGCACTGATGAATGTAGTGGCTGAGAGAACAAGAAGGAGAGCAAAGAAGAGGAGGAGAAACAGTAACGCTGCTGTCTGTCACTCTTCATCTGTTTAAAAACAAATGGTTATCAATTAAGCATCACTGACAACCGCTTGTTTTGTGTTTTTTTTTTTTACCAGAATCACTGCGACATTGTGCCATCCAGATGTTAACCAGTTAAAAAACCAGATCAGCAAAGCCAGGCAGCGTTGTTGCTGGTTGTTCATGTTGAGTTCCACAAAGGCAGTGGGAGCTGTTTGGTTTTGTTGTGGGAAATGGGTCACGTGACATGCATGCACTTCAGTGAAGGTCAAATTGTGACCATAAAAAGCAATCAGGGAGTGAATGTGTAAAGCTGTGCTCCAAAATTCTTTTTTTAACAGTGACATGGTTCTGGAGTTTTTGGGCAGGAAACATTTCATATTACAATCAATGTCTTTATTTTAAGGCATCAAAGTCCCAGATGCTTTTGACGACTCGTTTTTCAGACCAGTTTTTGTTTTTAGAAAAAAGCTGGTAAAGTGACAGTAACTGCAGCAGGGACGCTATTGCCCTATCGTGGATAAACAGTAAAGGAGACAAAAGACAAGACTTTGCACTTACTTTCTTAGTTAACACGGAATAAATGTGGTTATTTGACACAGCTACATTGGAGATGTCAACACACTTTCCTCAGAACAGACCCAATTATATTGCACTCAATTAGAATAGCAGTGAATACAAGATCTATAACTATATTATGTAGGATAACATTACAATGACATGAGCCTAGGAAGGGTCTGCACCTTCTTAGATTGTCAACACCAACTCCTATGAAAGAAGTTGGTGTAAGCTTACAGTTCAGGGCTAAAAAGCAATTAAGTCCAATCCAATAGGACACCCTGCTATTAGCATTTGAAAGACACTCCCCAACATTGTTCTGGGAGTTCACACTTTCCCTTAAAGAGATGGGTGGGTTTTACTTTCCTAAGCCTCAAAGTAAAAATGGTTTGAAACATGAAAACTATGACAACAATTTCCCAGTATAAACACGCACAAGCACAGTATATTCTCTAAGCTAAACAGGAAGAGCACATACATTTGCTTTTACACACCCACACATTTAAAATATTACCAATAAACTGTTTCAGTCGGTTGCAACAAACTCTTCTCAAGATTTAATGAACATAATCAGATTTGATCAGTGAAGGCTATTGAGCACAAGCAATTCTACGATGATAATACAGAACCATCTTTTAACCATTACATGTTCCATAAAAGTGAATTGTGATTATGTGTTGCATTTGACTGTGGGAACACACCACTTAGGTCTCCCACGTACACAAAAAAGACCTGAAGCAAGAACTGAAAGCCCTCTAAAGCAGTGGTTCCCAACCCCTGGGTCAATTGGTACAGGGCCACACAGAAAAGAATGCAACTTACATTATTTACGTTTTGTTTATTAACTGATTCTAAATGATTTCGAAAAAATTACCGGATTCTCTCCGCTGCATCTGTCTGTGACTCACACTTGATGCATGATAAGGTGCTTGCCTCGATCACATCTTACTTACATCCGCTACCTTCTTAAAAAGTCTGCCCGGCCAGTAATACATAATACGTTACTGCCAAATTGAAACCCCCAACCTAAATGAACAAATAACAAACGTCTTTGGAAAATGAGAAGTGAAGAGCCTGCGTCTTCAAAGAAGAAGAAAGCTGCATTTAACAGACAATTCCAGGAGTCCTACTTGAAATATGAATTCATTGCAACAGGTCTTTCCCACGCACCAAGCATGTGCTGCGTAATATGCGCCGAATGGCTCTTTAATGAAGCAATGAAGGCTTCAAAACTTTTTCGCCAAGCATTCTGCATTGAAAGACAAGCGCGCTGTTACGAGGACGCTGCTAATAAAGTTACATACACAGTGTTTATCATTATATTTAGAAAAGTTTTTAGGTCGGTCATATCATTATATTTCGTTTCATTTATCAGCCACACCTTAAAAAAATTGTCAGACATTTAACCAATCTGTGGTGCAAAAAAGGTTGAGGATCGAAGACATGATCCCTACTTAAAAGCATGACTACCTATCTCTCAAAGAGCCATTGCAAGGAAATAGAAATTGCAAAACAGAAATTCTAAAATCATGCAAAGTCCTCGTTACCCGAGTCAGAATCTTTCTGGTCTCCATTAGCTCCAGCAGTAAAGGGCAGCTTCCTTTTAGGGGCCTTTTCTTTTATCTCCTTGACCCCATCACTGCGATCCAATTTGGGTGTCTTGTTCGACAACACCTTATCCTGTCAAGGAGACAAATGAGAGCATAAGAAACACTGCAGTTGACACAATGGTTACATTTTATACTATTTAACAGTAAAATAAACTCACAAGATGTATCAATATTTAAACCATTCCAAACTGAAAGTACAGGAACTAAAGACTTCGACAGTGACAGAGAGAACAGGTCAATTTTCATTTTTATCTAGCTCAATTATCAATGGAGCTTCTTCTTACAATCCTAGCTTTGTGGGCACAGCACAGAGAGGCAGACACATGGAGAGGAGGCGATACTGACGCCAACTTAGTTTGTGGTCTACAGCTGCTGGAAACAATCACAAGGCCGACTGTGTGCTATCAACAGATGTAAATACTTATGTGTTTGTTCAAAGACTTTCTTTGTTGTTCTCATACATGGCAAGTTCGCTATTCTGACCAGCAGCTTCATAATAGTTAGAAATGACAAATACATGTCTAGAGTTGGGCAGATTGAGTTCATATTTTGTCTTTTTTGTCTATGTTGATATAACATAGACAATCAGTCTTTGTTTTCAATCAGAAAGAAGATATCCAGAAATTCTGATAATCTTATTCAAATTTGTATTCATTTGCTCTTTATTCATTTTGTAAAATACCAAAGGAAAGTGAAAATGGGCATGTGAGAACATTTTTATGTTAATTGTGTTTGCATAGCAAATGAAAAATCTAATATAAACAAATCATAGAGAACAGTGGGGAAAGGTCAACTAAACACACCAGGAGTGGGATTGGTCAACCTTGAATCACTTATTAATGATCTGAAGAGCTGCTAAACCGCTATTAATTATAGTTAAGAATAAGATGTCTTCTTAAGGACACAGGACATAAAAAGGTGCAGAGAATGCCACCCTAGCGGTGCAAGGTCAATATCAGTTTAATCATTATATATGCATGGGTTTACAGACTCGTAACGTATATGCAGTCATGTGCAACAGACACATGCTCACTTCATCTTTTTCAGTTTTCCACTCTCCTACTGATCTCATTCTGTCCTCTGGGCAGGTTTTCCATTATGTGTTGACTCTTGGAACTCCTCCCCCTGCCCTGCCCCAGTCACAGGACTATGATGTCATGTTACAGTAGAGGCAGTGTCTGCTACAGTTAGCTGATGTTTCTCTCTCGCCCACATTTCACCCAGAAAAAAAGTCACAGCAAAAATTACAGTATCTGGGATAAGGAACTGAGACATCACAGAGTACCCTCGGTAAATCAAAACTTAAAAAAACAAGAATGGGAGGAATGCAGAGCTTGAATCATAATCTAAAAGAGGGGATTAACCACCACTAAAAACCTTATTCTAAGACTTTCATCCACTTTGCCTTCACAAGACACCCTGTTTGGTGGTCTCCTAGCAATTCTAGCTCTGTTCGTTTCGCTCCGTTTTACACCCACCCCTGTGCTCTCCGTTCCCTCCCTCTTTTTCCTCTTTGCCAGAGTCTGATGCAATCCTTTGCAGAGGGCTGTAAATCCATGCCTGCATAAGCTGCACCTCTTCTCTCTCTTTGCTTCTCAGCGGAGCTGTGTTCAGCTAAACAGTTGGCACACACTATGACATCATCAAGCTGCGCCCAACACATTGCTCTACAGCAAACAACATGACTGTACATGTGTGAAATGAAGAAAACACTCCTTGAATAACATTTTGGGAACGGAGTTTTGGCAGGTCGTTCTTACTGTGACCGAGAAAATTCAGACAGCATTTTTGTGTGCCTTTGAGAACTATTTCATTTTTTCTTTTGCTGAAATACCATTTTCTGAAGCTTACATAAGGTGTACCTTGACATGGTAATGTTACACACAGGCCAAGCAAAACAGCAAATGATTCAACTATAAATATTGGGCCCTAAAATCAGGAGATGGTGATTAGCTGTTATATCAAGTTTAAAAGCAAAGAGAAGAAATAAATAGAATTATTCAACTCAGCTGCCAAAAATGGGTGAGCTGGATGAGATTCAGCACAGTTGTTTCATAACTTATTTTGAAAATCTCTCTCATCAGTTTTTTACTTTAATGTATTGTATTTGTGTTTCTGCTGGTATAGCATTGGTTAACAGACACTGACTTTAAACCAGGACAAACATTGATGACAAACAAGTGTAACAGAAACATACACATGAATTAACCATTTCAAACAATACTAAAATAGCTTCCAATTACTTCCAGCGCAGATATCAGTCAAAATAACAATAATAAAATTACTTCCAGCGCAGATATCAGTCAAAGACTTTTATTCTGATGACTGGTTTAAGATGACAGTAGGTTTGTGCCTACATATAAGAGACAATAGGAAACTTCAATCATTTCTTCCTCCTTCACAGCGTAGTGAGACATTGGGATCAGCTAAAGCATAGCATTACTGAAACTGTACAAACAATATTGTTCAGTATAATTTAACGTCATCGTCACAAGCCTATCAGTACGGAAGTTGTAGGGAGTAACAGGAAGTAGGAAGCTAGTTTCTGTTATAGGTTATTCCTAACCCCAAGTCATGAGGTCAATAAAACAATTTTGTTATTTACACTGGTAGTGTAGAGGCTTTTCAGCATAAACACTGTAGATGAGAAGCGTTAGTTTTAGTCTTACCTTTTTCCCACCCTGCTTTTCCACCATGTCGGTGTTGAGTGGGAAGTGGTCCAGCTGGGGGGTTTTAGAACCCCCACCTTTGGGCATCGTTCAGCTCTCCCCACGCCAAGCTTCATTCACGCTGCCATTGCATCGTCATCAACCGTCTGAAACATAAAAACATGAAGCACACAATTAACTATTTGACTCTTGTTCTTCAGAAGAAAATACAATTAAAATGTAGGGTGATAGAGAAACCTCTAAGGTGCCTATAAATTATATGCATTATTTTTATTGAGATAAAGTACAACGATGATGATGATTAAACCACAGCTACCATGTGATTATTCTGATAACATTTTTATTTGATTGACAGCCCCTGTTGGTTGACAAGACAAGGAGGTTGTAGTTTCTCCACAAGTAAAGACATATTTTGTCTACTCAGCCATTCCTGCCATACTTTCAGTGGGTGTCAACTACAGGTGCACTGATTGTAACTTGCCGATAATGATTTTTGCTGATTCCAATCTTTTTCAACTGACAGCGTTTACAAATCGTAAAAGTTGTTGTGCAGCCAAAAGTTTTATTCTAATCACTAGGAATTTTGAAACATTTTTCACAAACTGCACTCATTCATGGGTTCAACAACTTTTAAAATAAATACTTTTATAAACATTTCAAATAAAATATAGACAATACATAAGTATATTGTACACACTCTCTCTCTCAGAACACAATGTCAAACAAAAAACCTGGCAATTATTCAGCGACTAACCTAACACAATGTACTAAAAATAAAATGCTTAAAACTCCTATCAACACTAAGGAGCAGAGTAGACACATGCTGTAAATGCAACTTGGTGGGAAGGCTTGTCATGGAGTTCTTTGAAAGCAGAGCAGAAGGGGACAGTGGCTGACTTTCAGACCTTTGCGGTAGGTAGACAAGGTTGGTTTCACATAGAAGACTTAGCCAGAAGGAAATTGGTGCCCAAGTATCGGTCAACACAAAATCAGCACAATACACTAGATGTAGCAACTTTGCCACTGAGTATTTCTAAACCGAAGCTTTTTATTTGTTATTTTTGTAATTTGTAGTGTTCAAATTCTATTTGTTGCACAAAGCACACAACATCACGTAGATTACCACCCACTGCTTTCTTTCATGAGGCAAGGCCTTCAGCTCCACAGAGCCATGAATTAATCATACAACCCTAACCCTCACTCCCCCGAATGCACTTTCTCTCCACTGTATGTCTGAGTATAATCATCTTTGCGACTGTAAACAAGAAACCATGGCTGTATTATTATTATTATTATTATGATTATTTTCCTGCTATGGGGCAGTGGCACTCCTATCTTCCAAGGCACCAATTACATTTCACTGCCCCCACCCTCCTTTTCTTTGCCTCCTCAGTTATCCTACTCAAAGAATGCTATTTATATCCTTCCACTCAAGTCGGTCAAGAAAGCCAGCCAGCCAACTGGAGAGACGCACAACTACAGAGGATGTACAGCTCCCCTTTTGCTGGGAAATGGAAATGAGAGACACAGGAGACTCGGCCCCCACCCATTTCCACTTTCCTATGGCTCATTGTTACTCCCACTACTAGTGCTGGGCCCATATTTAATATTCCCCAAACTTCCATCATAAAATACACCAAACAAAATAGATGTGAAGGTCAAATGGACTGTTGAGTACTTTTAGAAATAAACAAACCTTGAAGTGTCAATGTGTTTACACCACACACAGCATAGAAAAAGCTCAAACTGGGTCACCTAGAACAATACAATCTAAACTATTTCAGGGCTAACATAACGGGTGGTAATAGCAAATGTAATAGCATTTTGCTGACATGAGAAATACGGGAAGATTTTTTTTTATAATACCATATGCACAGCATACTCTCAGAAAGATTAAACCCTTTTTAAAACCACAGGGATCATTTCCTTTGTAATTGTATCCCAATTAAAATATAGAAAACATCTGCCAACAGCATGCGAGTGTGTTTCACTCGGTGGGATGATGTTGTCCACCAAATGTTTTTTATTACTTTCGCACATTTGTGTTGATATAAGTGTGACTGAGCAGCGCCGCATAAGTTCATTTGATTTTCTAGGGCAGACCTCAGGGTAAGAGGAAATGGTTTTGAGCAGCAGTAGTAGTTAGGATGTAGTTATGATAGTTAGAAGGAGAGCATTCTCTCCCTTAGAGATTAAGTACGCAACAGCTACATAAACAGTACCCAACACACAACCAAAGGACTGAGCATCTCAATATTTCTAAGCCACTATTTTCATTTTCATTCTGAAATCATTACTACTGTAGGTTCCAAATGCTTGTGTTAATGAGTGTTTATATGAGTACATGTGGGTGGTATCAAGAGTGAAATAGATTCAGTAAATCAACTGAAAGGATGAAGAGGTGATGCAAAAACAAAACAGAAGATTACATTTGAGAGAGCATTAGCCTCGTCAGGCCTCAGAAGAATCTCACTATGATAGGTTTAGAAATCTCTTAAAAATGCAATTATACAATAAAGCTTTTAATTATCCCATAATGCAATTATAGAATTATTTGTGGCAGTTGTGTTGGCTGAGCTTTTGAGAGAAGGTTTTTTTAAGGTGTAGAGCCACACGAATGAAAAAACAATCAGATACCTGCCAGCTGTAACTATTCTAATGCCTTACCTGACTGCTCAATCATATGAGTTTATATGGGCAACCACTAGGTCCAACAAGTTTCAACAGTGCCCCTTTACTAATGAACCTGGGGATCTGCGCACAGCCCCCACAACAGGGGAGAAAGTGGAGCTGCACTAATAAAAGTAACTAAAGTAACTAAAGTAATTTAAACTAACAACTCAATTTTCACAAGTGATGCACCAAAAATAAAATTCTTGGCCGAAACCGAAAAACCGCAAATGAGGAAACTAAGGCTGAAAATCAAAACCTGAAACACCCAAAGAAATTATTATGCAAATTATTAGTACCAATGCATTTATTGCTACGACTGTGTATTAAATCTAAATGAAATCAAGGCACTGCAACAGCATTAATATAAAAATAGATTAATAATTGTAAAAATAATTAACTGTCAAATGTCTACAAGACAAATAAAATCAAAATCAACTGAGTCCAATAGGAAGTCAGAACAGAATAGCACCCATATTATTATTATTTGAGGCACTCTCTTGCAGGAGGATCACACAGCATATCAGACAACGAGGGTGCCTGCCCCGGATCATAGAACATATCAGACAACGAGGGTGCCTGCCCCTCTTCTGGCACACTGCGCCGTACGTCTCCTGCTTCTCCGTCAGCATTACACGTTTCACGTTGCAAATCGCTATCTGTAGGTCTTTCTCAGATATATTGAAATACATCCACACTGCAGACATGTTGGTACTTACGACAAGCCATTTTAACACTTAAACGCTTAGCATGATATATATTGTAGATATCTCAAACACAGTTTGGCCTAGTTAAGAAGAACATTTCAGACATGCTACAAGCCCGCGATAGATAAAAGTCTTACAGGCGAAAACCGGAAATGCACTTTAAAATTGAAAACACTTGAAAATTTTCGGTGGCTGAAAATTCGGTGCACCCCCAATTTTCACAATATATGTCTGTGTTGTAGAAAGTATAGTATACTTGATGTCTTGCTAATAGACCATTGAAATTCAATTCCAGAATTGGGACTAGTACAGGGGGTCCTTGACTGACTTACGCCTGGGAGCCATAATG